ATGTTCTGAAGGGCTACTGAAGACCCTAAGCACAGTGCAGCTGGAGAGATTCACTTGCACTAGGTTGAGGGGAGGCTGGAAAAGCGACACACAATGGAACCCATAGAGCTTTCTCTGCAAGAGCTTGGAGAGTGGTTTAGCAATAACTAGGTTGGGGGTATCAGTGGATAAACAGTTAGTCAGATGAACTGGCTAAAACATGCGATACTGGTCACATAGTGGGCTGCAGCCATCACTGTAGCTGCTGAAGTAATCTGCAATCTGCCCTTGGGCTAGAGAAAATCCTTTTCTCATTAACCACTGCATAGCCCATTTACTCTGGCTTTGTTCACAGAACTAGGATTTGGTTTACTGGAAGTAATTAATACAGATGAAGTAACCATTCAGCCACAATCATGCCAGAGAGTGATGTCTGGCAAGGTAAATTTAAATGCTCTTCTTTTCAATACAAATACATGATTAGAAAATTGCAATGTGCTTGTAAAAAAACTAAGAAGAAACCCATAACATTTATAAACATTCTACATTTTTTTTTCTCTTTCAATGTCTCTTTCAACAAAATATTTGTAAGCTTAAAATTCAGTAGTGGTATCAGATTCCATTCCCACACCCAAAGTTAATGCTATGCACTATATAAAACAGTGGTTCTCAAAATGTTGTCTTCAGCAGAATTTTATGGTGTGCACAAAACAAAAACGTTAGAAAAATCAAGCAGTTTATTGCAGCAAACAGAGCTGGCTGAAACGGTTTCAAAATTTGAAATTACAACCAATTAAATATTGAAAAACAATTAAAAATGGGAAGAATTTTCGGCATGTTTCATTCAACAGTAGCAGAAAATAAAGTTGGAGATATTAAAGGATGTAGTCCATAGGGTGATCTCTGTTGCATAATCTGCAGAATTAAGTGGTGAGAGAACCACTGACAAGTGATAATTTCAGACTATTAATGATGCAGAAATGTTTGCCAAAACTGTCTTCTTCAAATATGTTTCACTTACTTTTTTAAATTGCTCTTTAAATTTCCAACATTGTTGTTTGATGGACTTTTCTTGATTGATATGGAGCTTCCATGTTGTCCACAGGTCTGTCAGCTCTTCCTTTTCTTTATTTAGTTTGTCGATAGTATCTTCAGTTACTTGCACAACGTTTTCCAACTTTAATATAAAATTCTTATTCACCTGGTAAATAAATGATAAATGCATTTTCATTTCCCCCAAAGAGAATAACACATTTTTACAAGAATACAAAACAAATTTAGAGTTTTTCCCTCAACAAAATTTAAAAGAGAGCAGAAAACAATCAGTCTAATCCAGCATAAGCATTTTGGAAATTCCTGGTTGTGTGTGTATAAAATGCAGTGGTTAAAGAGGACTGGGTGGCTGAAGGGAGCGAACATTGGACATGGGAGGCTGGTTCTTTGGTTCAGCAGTGACCAAGAATTATCGCCTTCTAATGACTGCTTGATTGCCATGCAAAATCAGGTGGTGTCTTCAAGCCAATTCTTAATGGACAGTGTTCAACATCAGAAAAACCACCAACACTGGCATTAATTCAAACAGTTGTTGGAATGTTCAGCAAAGGATTGAATGGGACTGAAGGAGGAACTACTTACTTATCCTTAGTTGTGGTTCCCTTTGCACAGGCTGAAACCCTTGTGGGATAAAATGAGGCAAACGTATTCAGTACTTGTGGGTTTTTTGTCTTTGGGGTCTTTTGGAGGACTCACCTCAGTGACATCGTAGAAAACTTGGTAATTCTCTTTACTCTTTTCCCAACTCTAGCCCAGATTTTTTCCTCTGAGGAAGGCTGTTGTGTGTAAACTATATCAGACACTGATAAAGATTTATAATATACCCCCCAAGAATATACTAGGACCACATTAGCAGAAGACATGTTGGCAGCAATATCTAAGTCTTGGAAGAGGCAATATCGGAGAGAACATCAGCAAGGATAAACTGTGTGGAGACAGTTCTATCATCCATTTTTCTAAAAGTATTTTCATATTTTCCACTAGTACAGACTGCCTCTTAGTGGATGCAGAGTAAATTGTATATTGCACAAATAGAAATATGAGAGTCTAATGTGAATAAAATGTGTCTGTGAAAAAACAGTTCTAAAAGGTTATTTTATTTTAATCACAAAACTTTTTGTGCTTGCTTGGCCTTGTCCTGTTAGCCGGAGTCAGCAGTGCAGTCTTGTAGAGCATGTAGGATTGGCACAGCTTTTACAAACTGTCTGGCCAGGCTGAACGTTCTTGATTTAAAATGAGAATTTTCCCTCTCTTAGGTGGACTGTCTGCCATAGCTGACAAGCCTCACTTGATTGGATAGGGGACACAAAGAAGTAAAGTGACTTTCCCAAGGTCACCCAGCAGAGTGAAGACTAGAACCCAAGTCTCCTGAGTCCCAGCCTCAGACCCACCCCACTGTACCACACTGACTCCACTCACAGAAGATTTTAGAGTTGAATTGATCACACCACCACCTAGCACTCATCTAGTGCTTTCTTAGTTTGAAAATATTGCACAAATACTCATCCTCGCTGGCCCCCTGTGATGTAGGGAAGTGTTAATTTCTGCATGGAGACAAACACAAAAAGGCTAACATGACTTGCTCAGACCACACAGCATATCAGTGACAGAACTAAGCATTGCCTGGCATCCAATCTGGAGGTCAGTGCTTCACCTAAAGACCAATGGCCTGAAACTTTTCCTCCTCTGGAGAAACCCATAAGAAGGGGGTTTGGGAGACAATGTCCATGAGGATCTCCTTGCAGAATTCCTCCCCTATTGTTCCTTTGATGGGTGCGGTTTGCTTCATCCCCAGTGGAATAGGAGTTAGGGCCAGCCCACAAACCTGACAAAGGATCAGTGATCTGCAGAAGGCCAGGGTTATTCGCATGGAGACTCTGTGATTCCACAACCCCAGATGGCACAGCTCCATCAAAATCATGCTAACAGGGATCCTGACTGTGGTGGCCCCTGGGACTCTCAGAAGGCACCTGAGTAGGAGAAATAATACCATCCCAAGCTATATAATCTTCTCTGCTTAAACTACATAGGGCTGGCCTACTTGCTCTTGCTCCTGGCTTCCAAGTGTCCAGCCTACTCATGCAGATCCCAGATATGCCAATTGCCCTCCACAAGGTGCAGAAGAGGGCTGAGAGGTGCAGATCTAGCTTTCCTCACTCACATTCTGCATGGGATGGGAGGGATGATTTCACCTTTAAATTGTCTACAAATGCATTTTATCCTTATACACAGCTGGATCAGCTGGTCACTTGCTAGCAATTCCTGCATGGCCTGAAGAGGGTTACATATCCAGGCATGCCCTACTGCACTGTAATGGAAGGTTTTCAAATTCTGCAAGATCAATCTACAAGAATTAGGTGGTGATAAAATGTTTAAGCTGCCTTAACTTCCTTTGAAATTTCAAGTTAAAAATAATTCTCACCTAAGAATTTCCTCCCAATTTAACCACATTACTGTTAATACGGTTGGAGCCATCAATATTGTGTTTGCTTTACAGCCATGACATCAATATTAGAGCTGGTCAGGAATTTTCCATGGGAATGATTTTTTGATAGCAAATGCAGTTTCTGCAGAATCAAAATTTTCAAATTTGCTAAAAACATTAGTTTTTCTGATGAGAAAATCAACATGAAATATTTTGTTTTGGGTCAGTTCAGCCTGAATCAAGATATTTTGTTATATTGAGTTGACCCAAAACATTTGGTTTCAAATCAGTTAAAAAAATTAAAGGGTATTTTACTAGCATTGCCTTATGGAAAGTGTAGTTTGGGTCCCTCACTGTCTCCTTTGAGTTGGTCTCCCTGGAGGACTTCATCCTCCACAATGCAGCATAGACACATAGATAGTCCTCCAAGGAGACGGGCTCATAGAAGACAATGGGGGACCCAAACTATGCCTCTCATAAGGCAATATGCTTGGGAAATGCTGTGTAATGTTGATCTCACTTGAAAAGGAGCCTTTGGAGTGAATTCAACAAAACAAATTGAAACATTTCAATTTCAGAAATGTCTAAATGTTTTGTTTCTATTGCAAATGTCAAAATGAAATGTTTTGCCATTTCCAAATAATTTTTTTTTAGAATTTCTGTGCTGCCAAAAAAAAAAAATCAATCCCATTTTGAAATGGAAAAAAAAAAGTGTCAAAATTTCCCACAGGTGGAAATTCCAAATTTTACTCAGCTCTAATTATAATCCCCCCCCTCCTCCCGCCCCGTGACACACAATAGAAATACTGTGCCCTGGGCAAGCTCCTCGGGGCATGGGAGTAGGATCCAAGATCTACTCTTAATCTGTCAGTGGTTATTGTAGTTTAGTGCATATTTGAAGTTGTTTGTGAATTTAACAATTAATCCTTGCTACAGTGATAACTCAGTGAACTACAGTCTCACCATATTTAATGAATTAATAAAATCTTGCCCCATATCTTGAGTGGAAAGAATCTTCTTTAAAACGATCGGCCACTGAGTATCAGCTGACTCAATCACAGTCTTGTTTTCAGCTTCGCTCTCTGTTTGCACAGGCTCAGATTTATAGAATTCCTTCAGACTTTGAGCTTGGTCATTTACCTGCAGAGAAATGCAAGAATAAAAGTACAGGCCTCAATCTCTAAAATCAGACGTGGTGGGAGATTTGAGTAATACATTAATGAATGCTTTCCATGGTTTAAACCACATCCTCCTCTACAGAAAATTGGACTATCATAAAACAAGCAGAAGTGTGTTAAGTAACCCAGAAACCTATTTTAACAGCTGGCAAATAGGCTAGGGACTGAAGTGAAAAGTTTATTATTCAACGAGAGCTTCTAAGCACAGAGCAATATGTTTTTAAGTTGTTAGCAATTTGTTCAATGTCTGTCATCTATTATGTAAACATTGTAATTTACTTAGCTCCATTTAATGTGAAGTAACAAAAATTAACATTAGATAAACACAACAACACATGTGACAAACAAAAAAATACTGACAGTCAAACATTAGGATATGAACAAGTAAATGTGATCTTGTTCTTAATTAGTGTCACTAGAATTGAGAGCTTAGTTACTATGGCCAAATTTATCTAAAAGATCCAGTTCCACCTCTGTTCTCATTTTAGTTTAAAACATACAAGGAAAATATTAGTTAATAGTGTTAAAGTATTTAAAAACAAGGATCCAAAAAACCCTAGTTCTATCCCTAGCCCAGGTTTGGTATCAGTTACCAAATGCATGTTAGAAATGAAGGGACTGATTATGGTCTCAACTGGAGTGGTTTACACTTGCATCATTTTAACTCATTTTTTGCACCAATTTAACTAAATTGTTTTTTTCTACCAATTTAATTACATTGGTAGAAAAACCAGACCCTAGTGTGGACAGAATTATACTAATATAAAGAAATTAGATCACACAGCTTGGTTTTGGTTAATTTACTGAGGCAAGCTGTACCAATGTTAGCACTTTTATATAGATACCCACATGAGGGGTCACACTTATTTAACTACATTGGTGTCTTAAACCAACGTAGTTAAATCAGTGCAAAAACTGCATGCATGCAAATCCTTATGCTTGTGTAAATTTACTGACCAGGGCTGGACTACACACAGTTCTTGCACTGATTTAATTGAGGCCCTATCTGAGGAATAGACTGCAGTCTATAGGCTGTGTAGCTAGGAGCATGGGTGCCAAGTCTGTATAATTTTTGGTGGTGGCCAGAACGGGTCCAAGTCCTGCCCCCCACACCTGTCTTGTAAGCCGATATATATCCTACCCCGTCCACTCCCTCCACCCTGGGCGCGGGGCCGGCAGCGGAGCCCCGGGCAGCAGCTGGGACCCCATGTAAAAAGTAGAGGTGCTGCAGCACCCCCCGCACCCTTAGTTCCTTCGCCTATGAAAATAAGGTTAAGTGTGCCCTTCAAATTGATGCTCAGTGGACAATTGTGAACAGAGATACTGTTTTCATCAAAATGTATGTAAAATATAAGCCCAGACATTGGTGGAGCCAGGCTCACGTTCTTGAATATTGGTGGAGCATGGGCACCACGGGCCCATATAACTTGCCACCTATGGCTAGGAGGCCTGCACAGCTTCCCTGGCATAGCAACCCTAGATGCTATTTTAGGCTAGACAAAACCCTTGTTCTCTCTCCTTCTTGTAAAATTACAGAATGAAGTCCAGTAATTCAGTAGGGAATCTGTACCTCCTTCGCTGACTTTAAAAATGCCACATAAGCTTTTAGAACATCTAGTTTTGAACTAATATTTTTGTTAAGTGTTGTCAGTTCTTCATTTAGAAGATCAGCTTTGCTAGAGAAAGCTGCCACCTCTGCAGGTTCAAATTCTTCCACTTCATTAATAATTCTCACAGCTGCTTCCAGTTCATGTGATGTTTCCTATGAGGGCATAAGCATAGAACACAGTATATGGTGATTGGAAAGGGCTCGTGAAAATTCACATCCTAATGTTAATTTCTGGTAGTATTGGTTCTTTCTGTTTAACCCACCCACCTAGATAGCAAAGGAACAACTCAAAATGTACATTAAATGCCAAAGCTAAACATCCACCTCCTGTGACGGTTTTGAAACCAAACACAAAGCCTGAACATAATAAAATTTGCTAATTTTAAATGGAAAAAGTGTGGGTCTGAATATTTAAAATCAGTGTAGCCACTTGACAAAAAAGCAATGGAAATTCTGCACCTGGGAACGCTGATAGAGGAAAGGGATGTGCCACCCTCAACCAAGAGTATGGTCAGTAAGCTCCCATGCAGTGCAAATCTGCAAGCCCCCAAAATCAGAATAGGGACCAAACAGCACATCATGTCTCCACTCCCCAAACCCGGTAGTATCTTTTAGAATCATAGAATATCAGGATTGGAAGGGACCTCAGGAGGTCATCTAGTCCAACCCCCTGGCTCAAAGCAGGACCAATCCCCAGACAGATTTTTGCCCCAGATCCCTAAATGGCTCCCTCAAGGATTAAACTCACAACCCTAGGTTTTTAGCAGGCCAATGCTCAAACCACTGAGCTATCCCTCCTCTCTGTGGGTTGGTTGTGCAGATTTCCTGGACATTACCACCACACTGGTAGAATCAGCCAGGATTCTGTTTTTCAGCTCTACTGTGTTAGCTCACAACTCTGGGTAAGCACAAATGTTTTACTCAAATGTTACACCTACTTTTTATAGTGGGCCCTATAAAATCTGAAACACCTCTTCCTCAAGTTAGATATTGGTTTGATAATACATGGAACCTAGTGAATAAATTGCCAGAAAGGACTTTGACAGCAACACTTGGTTCTCAAGAACACATAAGAATGGCCACGAATAAAATCCAACCCTAGTGAAAAGCCTAGCTAGCATTTACAGCCCTAGCATTAAAAGGATCCAGGGTTTCACTTAAATGTGAAAACTCTGGCAAACATGATGGTAAATCATTTCAGGAAACAAATCAGAGGTTTTTGCTTATGTGTTTTTCAAATGACTTCTGGATCCCAATTTTTCTCAAAAAATACATAAATACTTTAAAATGTGAATATATGGAATTATTGTCCTACTTGCATAATGTTATCATCCAAAACTGCACCTGTGAGGATGGCATCAGAACTATGAACTATTGTAGGAAAAGTGTTTGATGCATATATTTCTATATCTAGAGGCCTAAGATAGCTTTGGATACTTTCGTCCATCTTTTGGATTCATAGCACATGGTATATTTATCTCTGAAACTCAGCCAGAATGCAAGCTATATATCCTGTGAAATTCCATAGAAGGAATGGGTAGGTGGCGAGGATACTGTAGTCACAGCACATTACACAGTTTCTAGAGAAAGATCACAACAGGCAAAGGAAATATCCGCGTCAGAATAGTGTTACACAAATTGAGCAGAAATGTTGGCAAAAATTATTTCATGCTCATTTGCCACAAAGAATGGCTCTGACAAAGCTTCTGGTATTTTTATATTCTTGCTGAATGCTCTTCAAAATTGCTTGTATGTGAATTTTAGTTTCAGTGCTACTGCAAAAATCAAATTATTGGATTATATAAACTGGTACAAGACAACAAGGAAAATGAACAACAAAGATACTGAGTTTTCAGAATTATGCTCAAATTGGGACTAGTTCCAAAGAGAATATGTATAGCTGCATTTTTAAAGAGCTCCCAGCTTAGCCTTGAAATATGAAGCTGGGGTGAGATTCCAACAGATTAGTAGAAAGTGGGCAGGTGGGGGTTGGGGGAGTGCTAAAGTAGCTTTAAAGCCCCTTTTGTATGTTGTGGGGCACTGGGGCCTATCTGGTTATAACAGCCTCCCTGCAATGATTCATGCTGCAGGGGTTCTTGGAAGGCAGCCTTATGGCTGTCTCTACAATACCTGTGCATGGACCTGGGCTTTTACACCATTCCAGCTCTTTTACCCAGCATGAAGGAACCTGAGTGGGAGAGACAATCTCACAACTGGAATTTTTGATGACCACATTCTTGAACATGTAATTTTTGACACCCCAAAAGTTGGTGGATCAGTGATATACATCAAGTACATGACATTTCCAAGAGTATTAAAATCTGACTGTGTTTGGGTCTTGAGATACTAACAGAGGATAGGATGATACTAAAAAAGATAGGGCTGAGATGAGAATGGAGAGTACCCTAACTGTAAGAATTACCTGCTTGCAGTTTTAGTTATATTATTGTTGATGGACTATAAGATTTAATAAAAATGAAGACTTATTTGCCTTCTAAGGAAACATGCCCATCCCCAGCTGAGCATCTCAGCAATTTTGGGATTTTTAAAGTATACATTTGTGTCTAAAATTCAGAAGCTTAGGGTAATAGCATATGTAAAAGTTTTTTTTTTTTACCTTTTGCTTGATTAGACAGTTCTAGGTATTCGTTCAAAACTTTCTCTGACTCAGTCAAACAAGAACCAGGATCCATACTGATTTCAAGTATCGGACTGACTTTTTTAATTGACAATGATACCTTTAGTTAAAAATAAAATATATACATAATTATATTAATTTACATCACTAGGCATTATAAAAACACAAACTTGAATAGAACAAAGTGAGGGAACAGACTTAGCTCTTGGCATTTCACCACTTTGATTTCAGCAAATACAGAAGATACCAAAAACAAAAAAGCCAGCCAACCAACCAAATTCTTCTAACTAAAAGGTCTGGTTTGCACTTGGGACAAAGATTCATGCCTGCGCTCTCTCATTTTATCTAAATTGTTTTTCTTTATCCCTAATTAATCCAGCATTGTTATTTTAATAAGAATTTACTGCCTTTAACTTAATACTTTCAAGATACTTCATGTTTTAAAAAAGTTTTGTTTTATAGACTAGGCCATTTAAAAAAAAAACCATCTTTAAAACTTCTCTAGCAATCTAAAATGTCTATTTTATGCAGATATGTGCACATAACTTCCTTAATGACAACAAGAGTTATGCATGCATGCTGGCAACAGGATAGGGCATGAAGAGCAGCTGCAGAGGACTCTATATGTGGTATACATAGCCACTGCTAAGAATGTGAATTCACGTCTACCATCCATTTTAAAATGGGGCTTCTGAATTTGGTCCAGGAACTGTATGTGTCAAAGGGAGCCTAATTTAGCACCAGATCCTTCAGAATGCTTGGCTTTAGTGGGAGGTTGCAATGGGAAGTGTTTTACTTGGGAGGATGAGACACTAGGTAGCATTCTGTGAGAAAAGCTAAGACCTTTTGGCTCAAATGTTCAAAATGTCCTTGAATTTTGGGTGTCTGAGGTGGGATGCCCAAAACTGAGGCACCCAGAATCAGAGACCACATATGAAAATGTAGGTCTAAAAATGATGAAGTCAAAAATAGTTACATTTAGAGAATTCATTTGATTTAGATTCACATTTTTCTAGTGAGGCCTTTTGTATGAGACCAACAGCAGATACCAGTCTTTTCTTCTAGACTATTTAAACTATGCAGTATGTTCATCATGCTCCAATATCCCAAAACCTCATTTATAGAAAATGTGTGTAAAGGAATCCATGGATAGCAAATTGACTTCTTCCCATTTGATTCAGAATAGTTCACTATAAGCATCATGTGTACATTATGAAATGTCAAATTGCATATTGAATAATTATTGAATCATTAAATATGATTTAACTGTTTTGGTCTGCACTTTGGGATATCTTTGCTATGGACCTTGCTACAAATATTATATTGCATTAGAGGTAGAACAGGCACATAGGGTCAAAGGGAAGCCCTAAGTGCTTATTCTAGCTCTAATGTAACATAACAGAGGCCAGAGGGAGCTGAAGACACTCAGCAGGCTTTCAGTATCTTTCAGAATCAGTTCCTTAATGAGTAAAAGGAGCTGTTATTGTGAATGTGATACACTTTCCTTTGGCAGCACAGAGAAATCACATCACCTGTGCTGTGGTTCACAATCCCCATTCCTATTGTCCCCCAAGTTTGTTTTGCCTCCTTTCACATTGTCCACAAAACAAAATTGGGAAAAAAATATAAAGAATGCAGGAAACTTACATGCAAGCCACAGTCCTGGATTGCTTGCTCATCTTTGCCAAAACAAAGGGCTCATTATTAAAGCAAATTCATGATTTATTATTTAATAGGTATAATGTGTTTATAGAATCAGCTTCATTTTCAGAGCAAGGCATTTAAGTTTACTGGTGCCTACAGCTGCACTAAGCATTTCATAGGTACAATTCACCTATCCTCTCTACCAGCTAAGTACATTATTTGGTATTATTTAGCCAGAAGCGCAATCTAATGTTCTAACAGCTATAGTACAGAAATTCAATGCAGTCTGCATGAATACATTAATGAGGATGCCTTTTATAATGTACCTTCTTTAGATAATCTTCTAGTGAGGCAGTGAGCCCTTGTTTCTTTAAAGCAAGTTCTTTGTAAGCAGGACACTGTCTGATTAGTTGATCCACTCTTTTCTGAACATATTCTATCATTTCCTGAATTCCAGTCATCCAAGAGCTAAATTGGAACAATACAGCTGTTAAAACTTTTCCTGGCTTGTGCACCAGCAAGATGACAGTAGGTGAATAAAAATAGCTCTTCTGTTTCATATCAGAAATGATTTAGCAAGATTTTAAAAATTCAAGTCTTAAAAAAACGTAACAGTAATAATGCAGATAAAATTCTTAAGGAGCAGAGCAGAGCAGAGAAATGACATTTCCTAACAAATTATTTCACATTCAATGCATAAGTAAGGCTCAGACGGAGATACCCTTACTTGCACTGTTAATCCCAATGATTTCAGTTGCACTACTTATGGAGTAAGGTAGATTCTGGCCCTAAAGGAACTGAGCAGAAGGGAGAGAAATGAAACATGAACAATTGAAAATATCTGACATACCAACTGGCTTAGATTTCTATTTTTAAAAGGATATTTCACTTTGCCTCCAAATGTTTCAATTTTCTTATAGTAAGTGCACAAAACTTGCCATCTCATTCCCTCCACACTCTAAGCTAACATTTGTTTAAAGATGCTGTTTGAATAGAAGTGTTGAATAAATCAATTGAGAAAGCACTGATTGTTTTATAATCTGAAACATTTAAGCACCAGGGTGCCAATTCGCAATAATATGAATGCTTGAGGCAGTTCTCTCCAAATTGTAAACAAGTCATCACATAGAATTAGGATTTGAAGATGGTGCATAAAAAAGAATTAATACTCATATTAATTAATTTATTATTGAAGTTGTCTCTGACAAAGATAAATAAATACATAAATGAATCCAAAATTTAGAAGACGAATACTTCTAAAGTGTGAACTTTGTCAATTTAATCTCTGCTGACTTCCTAATGTACTTATCTTAATTCAACTATTTATATACGGCCAGTTCCAGTGATTCAGAAGACCAAGTTCAGCCATCCTGATTGAAGTTGAGGAATACCCGATCAACCATGCCTATCTAATGCCATGGAGTATGGCATTAGACTGAATCTGGTGAGAAAATGTGGACCATACAAAATCCAAGATCGCAAAAAGGACATTATTTATGGAATAAGTTATTTAGAATTTTGCAAATTAATTTCTCATCATACTTGTAACCTCTTATTTTTCAGTGTAACCTTAAGTTTACCAAAAGTTGTCCCTCTATTTCAACATTTCTTAAAGAAGAGATATTCCTTTTAATTTATCAGTGCAGCTCCTTCAAACACTAATAGAGATTAAGGTTATACCTCCTGTAGATGATTATTTAGAGCTTCATAAAATCTTGGAAAGTACTACTGATTCTGCATACCTTTAATACAAATAATTAATTTATGACTTGGTGAAAATGAGTTTAATCAGCAATGAAATGAGGGAAAATCTTAAACTACTGATAGGCCAGCAGACTGGCCAGGATGATTATGAGGGTTTTCTTAATAGAAAAAAAATTAATTGATTGAAGAAATTTTGAGTTAATATAAAATGCATTTTCTACAGCGCAACTGAATCTTCAACAGGCTTTAATTTCAAAAATGGAAACTCACATGAAATCAGTAACTATATTCTACCAATAGTCTCATTCGACACAAAAATCTGAATTGGATTTTTTAATCTATTTGATTCAGAGGGGTAGCCGTGTTAGTCTGTATCAGCAAAAACAACGAGGAGTACTTGTGGCACCTTAGAGACTAACACGTTTATTTGGGCATAAGCTTTTGTGGGCTAGAACCCACTTCATCAGATGCATGGAGTGGAAAATACAGTAGCAGGTATATATACACAGTACATGAAAAGATGGGCATTGCCTTACCAAGTGGGGGATTTGGCCAATGTACATGGCAGAGGGGCATTGCTGGCACAGTCTCTACTATTCTGTTCCAATTACTCTTCCAGGGAGCTGTAACCTGCTTTCAAATTCCACATAAATTTCTACTGGCTGCTCCTCTTAGCAGATGGTAAGCACTTGACAGCTAACTATCTATTACATTAGCAGAATACACCTTTCTTTTCCTTTGTATAACAAAGCAGCCACTTAAACATACGACTAAACTTCTTCAATACCCACATGCTGCACTAAGTCCTAACAGAGATTCCCATGTATGTTTCTTTAAAAACACTGTCTCTTTGTTTCTCCTCTTGCATTGGTCATTCTTTTATATTTCCTTCCCTAACTGGACCTTTATTTTTACTGTCTTTCTGATGGGAAATTAAAATTTCCTTCCCCTTCTACTCTCTGTCCTTGACTCCCAATGTTTTGTTTTAGAAAACCTGGTTTCTTAGTATATTGTATTAAGTTTGGCTCTAGCCAGGACTCTAGAAGTGAAATCCAGGCCCCATTGACTCTAATGGCAAATTTCCCATAGACTTCCCTGGGGCTAGGATTTCACCCTAGGACTCTCATACTGAAGAATTCAAAAATACTTTGAAAATGATATGGCCTATACAGGGATCATTTCACGCACCACAGTAAAGAAGCCATCTCTGGACTGAAATGTAGTAACTGCTGTTTAACACAGTTCAGAGACACTCGACAACAGTCCAAGAGAGGAAAATAGGAAGAATACTGTATATCCAGTTGAATGAATAGAGTGAATTTAGGAAGGAATACACAAGTTGAAACTTGGGGCTATCACCCTGAACACTTGTTGAAAGTTTCATAGAACCTTTAAAGTCCATACCATAAAGACAAGAGTACATGTCTTTACCTTACTAAGGTAAATGATGGAAGCCAGGTGAGCTCTGCTGCTGTCTCTCTGCTGTTCCCTGCAGTGTCCTTACCTCAGCTCCCATTAAGTCTTCTCACTCACCTGTCACAACTAAGACCCCTTCCATCTCCAAATCCTTTTCTCTGCTGAATACCAAGTAACTAAAGGATCTTACCTCAAGTGGGTGGGGAGAAGCACTCATCACCTACTTTCTGCAAATATAATCCCACCAAAAATCTCTTCCTTTTCCTGACACAGCACTCCTATAGGCCCTTAGCGACTCAGATCACCTAAGACAGGACAGTTTCTATAAGTACTAGCCAGTCTCCTAAGATGAGTAGTCAGAACTCAGCTTTATGTCTCATTTGAAAGATGGCACCTCCAATAGCACATTGGTTTCATAATGACCAAGAGGGAAGACTTCCCTGCTCTCCTTTCAGAAGCATCATGTTAGCTAGAGCTCAAAATATTTCTGGGGGCAGTGACTTATCTTGAAGATGACACATGTCAGGACTGGCCGCCAGGAGCACCATAAAGGTGGCACCTTCTGTGCACCCCTCTGATGCCATCAGTTCCTGACTCTGAGAGCTGTTCTTTGGAGTGTATGTTGGGGAAGTTGAAAGAAGAAAGCTAGTGTATTAGACCAACATTTCCAAACCTGGATGCCTAAAAAATTAAGTTCCCAAACCCATACTTAGGCATCTATATAAAAGTTTCTCTCTTTTAAGAGGCGTTAAGCACCTGCAGCACCCACTGAAATCTATGGACGCTTCAGGTACTCAGCCCTTTGAAAACCAAGCTACTTTGATTTAGGTGCCCAAATGCAGATTTAGGAGTCTAACTCTGGCACCTGGATTTGATCACTTTGGTCTCAGATAATGGATGATGATAGAGCATAAATAAAGGCTGACTCAGTGCGGGGAAGATTAAAACTAGGTAGTGAGTGAACTTGTCAGGATTGGAGGGAAATCAGCAGGGGAAGGAGGAAAAACAGAAGACGTGTGTTTTTTGTTTTCTTTTTTGAGGAAGTGGGAGGTGTCTGTTTTTGTTTAAAAGCTAGGATATGGAAATTTTCAATATTCAAAATGTACATATTTTGATAAACTATTAAGATGTGTTTAATTAACTTGAGTGACCTCTTGTGACTCTGTTTCTTTAACCTTTGCTACACATATTGGTTGTTGCTCTTAGTTGTTGCATTTTATCATATTTAAATCATAAGGTCTTCTAGACAGGAACCACATCTTTCTTATTTGTTTGTAAAATGTCGAGCACAATTTTGGATGCTCAAAAACTAAAATATTAATACCATAAAGGATGGTTAACTTGGATATGAGAAGTTTTAACTAGATGTCCCTGGAAAAGAGTTTGTCTTCTTTCAGTAAGGGCACATTCCTACAGCAAACAGTAGAACATATTAGCACTGCTGCTATCAGTGTTGCCTATACAGGGGGATTTTTATTTAATTTCACCACAAACCTCTAACACAATTACTTCATGTCAATTTGTCACTTTCCTTCTCGACCTGTCCTGGGGTTTCAATATCCCAGCACTGCGACATGGGCTTCTAGTCTGAAGCAGAGTACTCAAACAGTGAATACGTTTAAAAAAGAGAGAGAAAGTTAATGGCTGCAGTGATTTTATGGATCCATTCTCACAAAGTCTGCAGACTCCATACCATCAATCAATGCTGTGTTAGAAAGCCATGCAATGTGGAATACTGTTTGCATTGTATCTGCTGCCACTGGGGTCTGTGATTGCTGCTGGCTTAAGAAAACCACTGAAATGAAAGCAAGCTGAGGAAAACCCTCTCTTCTATTCTGCTTATCTGTTTAAATACCAGTAGGTGTTAAAGCAGCAAGAAGAACAATAAAACCAGCTGTGTGTGTTATGGGTAAAGTCACTGAACTTATTATAGGCCCTCTTTGCCTGGCTCAAAGCTTTAAATAACTCCAGTGGGAGCTACTCACAGAATGCAGTAGGACTAGAGGGCCCCCTCTGGATGAAAGTCAGTGCAATGTTGCTAGGGTTTTGTTTGTTTGTTTGTAAGTGATAGCACAGGATCCTGAAGTGAAGAGAGTTCCTACATAGATTTTGAAGTCCCCCACTGAAGCAAAGCTTTCTACAGCCCTGGAATGGGGCTAATTACCATTACATCAATCTCCTACCAAGTTGTGAAGAATAGGAAACAACCTGATTTTAATCCAAGTTACACTAGTGTAAACCAGGAGTAACTCCACTCAGGTCCATAGAGTTGCACCATTCTTGCTATTAACAATAGATGGGGGAAAAGAAAGGTTATTTTATTAATAAATGAAGGTCACTAAGAAGCAGAGAAACTGTTCATATTCTTACATTTAGCTTAATATGTATTATGTTCATATGTTATTAATTATTAAATTTAATATACAGGTAGGCATTTGCATTTGGGGTTGTAAAAATGAGCATCTGTTGACATTTTATTTTATTTTATCTTGACCAGACTGTCTTTTCCTAAATATTTCCCTGACATAACTGCAGCCACATGCACTAATATAGCTTTTGATGTATATAATTGATGTTATAGTGTATACAGTTCTAAAAAAACCCAAAAACTTCTGACAGGAGACAGAGCAATCTGTTCAAATGATATCAGTGAAAAATAATAATGACAAATTTTGCGGACTCAGTCATGCAACTGAGACCTAGCCCCATACACAAAGAGTTACTGGGCACAGACTGGCCCTAAATGAGTTTTTATCCTCGATCAGGTTAGTGGAAGCTCTGAAACAGTTGAAAAATATGGAGCAATAGAGCATTCTTTACTCACCTGTGGGAATCTCCTTTGCTAACTAAGACTTTTCCCTTCTGCAAAGCATCAGCTGTGCAGTCTTTAATTTCTCCCTGTAATTCCTCATGCTTCATTGCCAAGATAGGCAAACTTAAACCCTCTGAGTTAAGGAGCTTAAGGTAAGCTTCAATACCTCCAAGAACATCAAATGCCTGCCAAATGAAACACACTTTTTCAGTATTTCTATTTATAATATCCATTTATTTTGTACAAAGCAAATATATTAGATGGACACTCAATATTTTCTCAAAAATGAACATCACTAACTTAATTTAGGGCCTGATTCTGATCTCATTTAGAGTACACAAAGGAATAAACAGGTGTAACCCTGCTGAAGTCTACAGAGTTATGTGGGAGTCCATGAGAGCAGGATCAGATTTTGAGTTTAAAAGCAGAATCTGTTTTCTAGAAATAATCAGACCAGTGTGATTCTGAGTCTCAGCCAAAGTGGCTTGAGCAACGCAGATGAAAATATTTTCGAACCCCATGTATTACTGGAACTTTGGCATGCTCATCAAAAAGTATATGATGCATAGACCCAAATTTATTACAAATCCTGTGTTTTTTGTGTTTAAAATTCATCCAGGGTATATACAAGAGTTAAGTCCCACTGAACTCTTATTTTGAGAAACAGGGGAAACAAATTTTCCATATCAGGAAGTTGGTATTATTCATATTCTCTATTTTCCCACTGCACAAGCAGAAGTTCCTATTCCACAGGCAAGGAGCAAATGGGGCACAATGATTTAAAAAAGACAGCAGACACAGGCAAGAAAAGATTATGTTAATACCCAAATATTATTAAATAGAAATGTGCCAAGTCCAAAATTCCCATAATTGGCTTTACCGTACCAGGGAAATATTCTCTGCTAGTAGATATTTTATATTTGTGCAACCTCAGAAGAAACCTAGTTAATAAAGCAGAAAAAAAGTGTAATTGCTCTAACACTGGGACCTAGGAAATGATCCCAGGATTAGGTTGTAGTGACAATTATGAAGAAAATGCTTAGTGCAGTACTACAGAAAGTGATCCAAGAGATCATATGTTTACCCAAGAGATCTTATTGCACTGTGTATTGAATCATAAGCTGCCTTTAGTAACAAAACTAAGTTTTTACTACTTTCTACTTATGTTAGCACTGCAGAATCAATGCAAGTATCAGTCTAAGATCTAAACTCTGTTCTAGCAAATTCATTACCAACAGAATCATTAACTAAGTTCCACATGTAAGACCAAATCTAAAGCTGGGCAGGCATTATTTTTTCCATCCTGTGAAAATATTGGAGATTTCAAACATTTTCCTGTTCCACACTGGGATAAAAGCAAGACATTTCTTCTTCTTTTTATTGTTAAAAATGAGAGAACACACCCAACCAATAGCTCAGATGCCAATAGCTGAGATGTCAGACATTCAGGTTCCAGTCCCTCGTCTGAACCAGGCCTAGACTCCTACACGAATGCCTGACCACTGGGCTATTGACTCAGTCTCTTTCTCTGGCATGAGTAATGTTTAATTATTTATATAAAGTGGAAGAGCTCCAACAACAGAAAGTGAGAGACAAAAGCCTGGTGTTTAGGGCATTCATCTAGCATGCGGGAGGCCAGGGTTCAAATCCCTACTCTGTCATCCTCCCACATACCAGTTCAGTGCCCTAACCACCAGGTTCTAGTCAGTCTCAGTCTGTCTCCTCTGTTGGCGCCCTTTGCATAAATAAAAATTAAATATGCATTGGGCTAGTGAGAAAGAGACTTACGCTATAGCCCAGTGGTTAGGGCAATCACTAACGGGATCTGGGTGATGCAGCTTCAAGTCCATGTTCCAGTGAACATTGAATTAGCTATCCAAAGCAGAACAGCTTCCAAAGGAGAGATTGAGAGAGGACCCACTGCCTGATTCAGGTTATGGGCTAAAACCTCTATCTCCCAGGTGAGGGCCCTAACCACTGGGCTATTGATTATTCTTAGCGGGGTTCTCTCTCTTTTCGGTTTTGATCAGAAATTCCATCCTCAACCTGAGAAAACTTTCCTGATGAAAGTTTTGTTGAAACTGGTATATTCCCCGCAAATACCATTTTGCCAGAAAATTCCCAACCAGCTCTAACCAAATCCTGTCCCTTTTTACCTGAAATAATGATTTTGAAAACTGACTACAAATAGTGTTGCAGCATCCCATGCTGTTTTCCTTTTTATAGGCTTTTATATCTAATGCGTCAAGCAGAGAGATCTGATTTTTTCTCTAAGTCCTGTAAATTTAGACTGGGATCTTAAAGTTCTTTCAGTTCATCCATTATAATCAATAATACAGACTACACAGGCCAAATTATGTTCTCAGTTATTACATTATGCTCCCAGACTAATACAATGAGTATTCCCACTATACTCAATTTTTGCTTGTAAATTTTGTTTGCTGTGCAACGCCATTATGTTCAAAATATTCAAAAACAGTGTGTTAGTTCTATTATGATCTCTTCTTTTGTGTTTCTCATGTGGAGAACTTCCAACAGAATTAATTTCCCATTTAACATATTTAACTTATGCACAAAAGGAAAAAAAATTAATATAATAGGAACGGAGAGATGTATATTTGTTAAATGGAAAATTAACTAACTAAATTGCATGTTTATACAATGCTCAGCAAACTTAGGCCCTGATCCTGCAAACACACACATACTTCGCTTTACACAGGGGAACAGTCCCATTGGCTTTAACTGGCTGAAGAATGCTGCTGATTCAAGGTTTTAGAAAGAACCAAGATGACTCCTGAAGGATTGTTTAATAAAAGAAACTACTTTTTAAAACATTATTTTAAAATATGTGTACTTTAAAGAGCAATATCGTAAAGGAAATAGACTTTGATACAGACTAATGTTTTATTTGTTTGAAAGAGCTCTGCAAAGATTCTTAAAACATTTATGGAAGTGGAATGACATCAAAAAATGTACTGAATAAAATTTTTAAAAGTAAAACTTCACAGAGATTTCGAAGAGCTTTCTCAGCCAGACTGCTACAGCATATTATGCCTGCACTAAAGAAGCAACTGAGACCAGTCCATCAGGTGCTGAGTCAATGGAGAAGTGACAAGCCCTGATACTTGAATTTACCCAAACACCTAAGAGATAAGCTCTCCATCACCACTGAAGTTGAGGAAAAAAGGGGACAAAAATCCTTGAAACTGAGGCAGTCATGGAAAGACAGATGAGAGGGAACCAAAAAAAAGCAGCTCATTCCGTAATGAAGAACGGAAAACACTAAATGCACAACAGAAGAGAAATTCACAGCATTGGAAGAAACTCACAGTAAAAGCAGCAGCTTAGGCCCAAAGCAAGCACCAATAAGAAGGTCAGAAAGAGTCCTTCCCCCTCAGCACAGCTGTGCAAGGAGATCCCATAATCAATCCTTAAGCTTCAGTTGATGAGATAAAGTTTTGTATAGGCATTGCCACGAATTGAGTTAATTTTCGTACTGAAAATTATTTTAATTCAGTATTGAGATATTATAGTAAACCGTAAGAGATTTATTAACAGTTTCTCTTGTTTAACTCTGATTAGCAGGACAATGTATACCTGGAGATGACATGCAAACTAACTGAGGTGAAGGAATACAGAGCGACAGTAACTGGGACTCTCTCTTATAGAAGGTGTAAATCTTCTGTTGGAATCTTTATCAAGAGGAGCGCAACAGAAAAGATTGCAATTGAACAAATACTGTTTTACTGCCTCTTTTAGACAATTTTCTTTGCAGAATGAACAATTCAACACTAGTAACTTGAAGTTACCTTGATTTAATTAAGAAAACTTATTATGAATAAACAATTCAATAACCTCTTGTCCCATCTGAAGGAAGTGCTAGTAGGTACTCAGGAGGCCCCTTGTCCTAAAATGTGAAATCCTTTCACCTGTGCTTAACTACAAAGAAGTTCAATTGCCACTAGCTCAAAGCAATAATTAAGCACAGTTTGGGCACTTTAAAGACATATTCAAGATTCTTCTGCAGAACTGAGCACTTGGCATGGGCCCAGGAATCAATAGGATTTGCTTATTGTGTGTAACAGGCATTACATAAGGAATTTTATTCTTGAAGACCATATTGAAGAGATTAAATCTAGAAACCAAAAGGAAAGGTATACAGCACTCCAGAACAAACATAGGTAGTTAAAAAGGCAGAAGGAAAAGGCCTCTCACCATCAGATTTTATCTAAGTATTGAGAGCCTGTATAACTAATCAGCTGCTATATTTGTTTCTTGGTAAAGATCAATGGGGGGAAAATGTAAAGTAAAGAATATATATTATCACTATCATGTTATATTTCTCAAGGAGGAATTTGAACAGAATGGCAGCTGGGCTGGTGACTTTTTTGAAAAAGGACCAACTGAAAAATCAGGTGGTCTCTGCAGCTCCCTTACTAGCCAGATTTAAGTGCTGTCGATGTTCCTCAATCTGATCATCCAGGCTGTCAGATAATCCCACAGGGTTGTGCTGTCTGCATTCCCAACTCCATCTCGCTAACTAGATCAAGTCATGGCTGCTACATAGAGATTCATATTTATCCCATGTTCAGTGTCAGTCACAAGTGGGAAGCCATGGTTCACTCACATTATCTGGGTTGATTGTTCCATGACAGCTGCAGTGCTGGTTGGCAGCCTATACCCTTCCTATTTTACTGTGGTTTCAAGAGCTTTGCAAATCCTTTAAATTAACTGTGCAAAAGCAACCTCTTGTGTCCATTGCAGTCTTTTTTCAAACATTAGCATTAACGTTAAACAGTTAGATTGGTAATAATTCACATATTCCTCTAGTTCCTATAATCAAAGGACTTCATAGAGTTTAACAAACATTAACTAACCCTTGCAAGCCCCTAGGAGAGGTGTAACATTTTAAACCCTATTTTAGAAATAAGGAGACTGAGGCACAGACTGTTTAAGTGACTCACATTAAGGTTAGTGGCAAAGCTCAGAATAAAAAACAGGGGTCCAATGATGCCTTGTGCTCAAGAGAAGATGCAGAAGCTGTTTTGGTTAGTGAGAGCTGCTGTATTACTTTTTAGCCTCTTCTCACCTTAGCTGGTTGAGTGGATGCAAATGTATTGAGCTATACAGGCCTGGAAAAGTGAGGAGGAAAAATACAGACTTGAAATATCCATAGTCCAAATGCACATGACAAACTTCAGGTAATTTGCAGTGTTGTTGTAGCCATGTTGGTCCTGGGATACTAGAGAGACATGGTGGTGAGGTAATATCTTTTACTGGACCAACTTCTGCTGGTGAAACAGACAAACTTTCAAGCTACACAGAGCTCTTCTTCAGGTCCACATTGACATTTTAAATGTGGACCCGTATATGATTCCCTAGAGTAAGCTTAGATCGGTTGTGTAATAGAAATCCATCTACACAAAAGTTTTGTTCTAAATATTGTCAGAGATTTACACAAATATTTTACACTTGGGGAACTGAGACACAGAGAGATTAAAGCCAAAATGTTTCCACTAATTTGGAGAGCCCAATATGAGATATGTAAGGCCTGATTTCTCAGAGTACTTATCATTTTCGTAGCACTTCGAGAAATGTAGCTGTTATAATCTAAAATGTTTCTACTGAGCATGGGTAAAGTGTGATTTTTCCAATGGCTTATAAATTGGCAAAATTTGGGTAGCTTTTCACAAACAAAAAGGGAAATCCTTGACACAAAGGCCACACCCCTGCCCAAACTGAAATCCCTGTTCTAGTGCATGAGGGCACTAGAGCTTTTCAAAGAGTTTTTTAAACATGGGCAAAACAACTTATTCTTCCCTAGCATTTTTATTTTTGGAAATGGTGGAACTGTTTGGATGAAATTACAAAAAAAACCAGATAGCTGGCACATAAAATTTCAGCCCAAACAGGTGTTATAAGCAACTGAAAAGAGAATCTTATCATGGGAAGTGTCCGATAACCTTAATAATAGGTGACGCTACCAGCCCTGCCTATAATACACATGCACACACAAACAGAAAAAAGAAAAGAGGGAGAAAAACTAAATATTGTCTATTATCTCTGTCACACAGTAAAAATTGAGATTCTCCAAAACTAGCGTTTGTAGAAGCAGAGACAATCATCAAAAGGACAAATGTTTCACTTTACTGTATTTTAACTAAAAGATACAGAGTTAATAGCCTGCTGTAAGGCAGAATCAGAGACGATATCAGCCGTGAAAATTTATAACCACTTAGGAAAACCATTCCTAAACTGTTTATACTGCCCTTTGTTACTAGAGTAATTCCAATGCTTGTTTTATCTGCAAGCAACATAGATGGAGAGAAAATAATCAGCTTATACCACTGTAGACACAATGACAGCATTGACTATGATGACTAAAATAAATTAAAGGGAGCTGTCATACAGTAGTCTATCATCAAACAAACCAACCATCAGTGCACTTGAGGTAACTAGTAGAAAGACATGCATGTAAAAAAATCCAAAATAAGTTCCCAATCTTGATTCAGGACCCACTACTACAGGCCATTGTGCCTGGGAAGATTCTAAGTGAAGTAAGTGGGACTTTACAGGAATCCTTATTAACAGATCCTCATACAAGATCGAGTCCTAAATTGCTAACTGTATATAATCCTCTCAATACACCCAGAATGGAATAATCCAATCTATGAACAACCTTTGCTTAGTTTTAGAAGTTCTTGAGTGCCAAATAGTGTCACAGGTTGCTAGTGATGGAGGTTTCTGAAAGATTCTATAAGCACCCAAAAGGTGTTCAGGTGGGGTTTTCGGGGTGGACAGTTCTCATTTGTGCAACTTGTTCATTCTGACAGGTTTATGCACAGCACAAGATTTTTCAGCAAAGCACTGCTATACTTTGGTCCAAGCCTTTGGAGGTTTTTATCCTGTCTGGTAAGCAACAATTATTGACAAGGTTATGACTAAATAAGCAGATGGAGTTTCCACCCTGCCTTTGAAGAGGGTGCACACACACTCACTATACATAGTCCAAACTTATCACCTTCCTAAGGTTAGACTTTATTATTAACAACAAAAGCAGAGTATAAACCTCACCCTGAGCTTTCTCCTCAAAGCTTGGCTGTTGCCAAGGTTCTCTCTGTGGGATCTCCTCTGTCTCACCAGTTTACTTCAGCACCTCTTATACTCTGCTTGGATCCAGTGAGATTCATCTGCTAGTATGACTCAGCCGTAATTTCACTGCTCCATCATGCAGGGTTCAAGCACCTGACATCAAAGATACCTCAGAACTGAAGAACTGTTATCTTGTGATACACTTTCTCCCTGGAGCAATGGCCAGGATTTACTCTCCAGTTTATTTTCTTCTGAGCAACCCATTCATGACCCAATAACCAAAGTCTCATGTTAAATGATTTGACCTCTTCAATGCCTCCAGCAATAATTTTTTTCATGGCCATGGGCAAGTTCCATGCACCTCATACTTCTGTGGAGCCCATGAGGGAACAATTTTTTTTCTATCTCACACCAAGACAGAGATTGGTGGGAGTCACTTAGAGTCAGCCCATCTGAACCCTACTTCTCAAGGAATTAAAAACAAGCAATCCCCATGTATGTAGGTGACCTGAATGGGTTCCACTGCCTGAAGTAGTTCAATTCTTTCTAAGCCCTCCTGCAATGAAGTCTGGATACATCCTGAGCCCCATTAGCCCGATACTGTCGCCACCTCTAGCTGCCTGGGTAAACTGTTTGGAGCCCTGGACCTCAGGATCTCTGCAGTAGCACACATTTCATCACAATTACACTCCACGGAATGACAGAATTGTTGCATATACTCCTGTTGACCAGTGAAACAGAGAATGAGATACATACATCTTTTCTTTTTAGTTATGAATAGTTGCATGGAAAAATTGCATTACACAATGCACATTATGAATACTCCCCTCTGTAAAATGGAGACTAATTACTTCCCTATCTCACAGGATGTTGTACAGATATACATTCAAGACTGTGAAGTGCTTTGAGATCTACTGATGCAATGCGCTATATAAGAACCTGATGGTCCAGGTTCCCAGCATGGATTCCCCCATCCTGTAAATATTCTTTGTTCCTAAATGTGTGACTTTACATTTGGCCATAATAAAACACACATTTGTCTGCTTGCACCCAGCTTACCAAGCAACCCAAATCACTCCTTATCCATGACCTGTCCTCTTCATTATTTACCACTCTCCCAATCTTTGTGTCATCTGCAAACTTTATCAGTAGTGATTTAATGTTTTCTCCCGGGTTATAATAAAAATATTAAATAGAGCAGGGCCAAAAACTGATCTCTGTGGAACATACTTTTTCAATGACGATTCCCCACTTACAATTACATTTTGAGACTTATCAGTTAGCCAGTCTTTAATCAATTCAATCTGATTTTCTATCATTCTAGTTTCTTAATCAAAATGTCATGTGGTACCAAGTCAAACACCCTACAGATATCTAAGTATATTACATCAACAATGTTACCTTCATCAACCAAATCTCATTAAAAAAAAATCAAGTCAGTTTGTCAAGATCTATTTTCTATAAACCCATGATGACTGGCGCTAATTATATTTTCTTCTTTTAATTCTTTATTAATTGAGTCCCATATCAGCTATTCCATTATCGTGTCCATTAATTTGCACAATGCCGTGCATATCAGACTTCAAGAGCAAAGTAGCAGTCATACGATCAGATTATAATTATAGACTTGGCCTCTAACTAACCTTGTTAGCAGCACTAAAGAAGTCATTGGCCTCTTGTAACAAGGTTTTCCTTTCCTCCATACGATGGCACAACTCTTCTTGCAACAGATTTATTTTCTGATTTGAAAGCTTCAGATGTTCCTTTTCTGCGTAGTCCTCTGAAAACAGAATCTTGAGTGCTTCTGCTTTTAATTTTTCCACAGTGGAATTCCATTCCTAAAAGGAAGAGTGCTGATTTAATTAACTCCATGTATCTAAAATGATCCGAAGGAAACTGTTGCATAGTAACATATTACAGTTATTGGCAAATACAATCATTTAATTTTATATGAGTGAAGGTTATAGCCAACAGAATTTCTCTCCAATGATTTCTTAGCAAAATGACAGCTTTAATGAATAAGAGTCTAGTGACAAATTTGCCAGAGGACGGTCCCACAAGCAAAAGAAGTGTAGACTACAGCATGCCCACTGGGCAAATTGTTCTGGATAAAATAAAAAGCAGCCCCAACCACACAGAAATCTGACTTTTTTCCCCCAGGTTTTGATAATGAACAGTTCTAATCACCACTCAGGGCCAGTTCAGATCACACTGCCATTGCAGGCTCTTTGGGGGCCTCATCCTGCCAAAGACAAACTGAAATATTGTCACGATGCTCGCTGTTCGTGCTTCAGTGCCACATGGTGGGGGCATATTAACTATGTTTGCTGAGAGCTCTGAGCTGAATGATCATTTGAGTCAGGATGCTGCCCCATTTATCATGGCCTGGAAGGGACACATCACAGGTTCCTCTCCAATGGCCTCCATCAACTATTGCCCCATTCCAACTCCACAAACACACATACCAGTTTTATTCTTCAAACATAAAACTTAGGCAAAACATCAAAACAAAGAAGCTCCTCCACCCATCATGGGTTACAGATGTCACTGCACAACCTTCCTTTCAATCCCCCTGCTGCAGGGCCTGCTGCCAGAGCCCATCTGTCTCCTGCCACTCCTCTATGAACTGGGGCACTTGCTGAGTTTTATAATCACTTTGAGCCCTTCTCCAGCTCTGCCTGAGAAATAAACAGGGCTGGCAGGCCCCAGGCCATCAAAGGGGCAGGACATCCTGTTACGAGCACTTTTCATCCATAGATCTCAAAGCACTTTGCAGAGTGAAGTAAGCACTATTCCCATTTCACAGACAGGAAATCTTATTCTGAGGCACAGAGATGTTAAGTGCCTTTCCCAAAGGTGCACAGCTAGTCCATAGCAGAGCCAGGAACAGATGTTTGTTTACAGACATTTCCATAGCACTCATTACTATAGTATCAGAGCACTAGAACTGGGTTCTGACTAAACATTTTTCATTGGTGAATGCAGATGTATCAAAACCAAAACTGTTGGACTGATGCAAGTTTGTGTGTGGACACTGCCTACGTGCAGAAGTTCCACTGATTTACTTACAGTGGGCTGCCAGATCTACCACAGTTTGGAGCTAAACCAGCTTTCTATTTAAAGCTTGACTCTTCTAAGTGCTATGAAATCTATGTAGTTACTTGGATTGCCTTGAAATTTAAATCAATTTAAAACACAATTTAGTTAACCCAGTGCAAACCCATATCCACATCTTACATCTATTTAAAACTGGTTATATTGGCCTACCTTGTGCTGTGAGGTTACTGATGCACAATACAACCAGATTTAAAGCATTATAGGAATGCCCCCACAGGGTTTAAACTGATTCAACTTTCTTATATAGACAAGTCCTTCACTTACATTTTTCTACCTATGGTAAATTCCCTCATTTCCATCTTAATCCTAACTGACATTTTTAATTTTAAAAGGGGCATTTTCATTTTCATATTCAATGTAAATTGAAAGTAATATTTTATTTTAAAAGGGTAAAGGAAAAAAATGTCCCACCATTCTTGATTTCAATAGTACTTCCTGTTTCAGTACTACTGTTTTGTGGTTTTTTGTTTGTTTTTGAATGGGCAATCGATAAAAAAAATAATAAAAACTTTTATTTCATCTACTGTTATTCCTGTCAGCATCTGATATTAGAAACCTATTGTGTTATTCAAAACAAAATCAATATATATTATTATGCTGCAAACCCTCCTGCCTTAATTAGCATCTTTCCGCTACTTTCTCTGCTAATGAATTAAATACATTTTGAAACAAGAAAAGAGAGAGTTTTTCTGTTGCAGTTCCTCCCACAAGGAGAAAGAAAGAAAGAAAGAAAGAAAGAAAGAAAGAAAGAAAGAAAGAAAGAAAGAAA